CATATCAGTGGATCGGGAGCATGAGTATGCTAATAAATCTTTAGTATTACGAGACACTTATTTATCAGATCATGCAACGGTTACTGTAAAAGATGCATACTTGTTTGTCAAGTGTAATTGGCAATAAAACATAATAGTTGATCATTTATTCATTGTCTTTGTAATGAATAAATTACGATACCAAGTATAAATGTCTTATCAATATTTGTATATTTGGTTGTAGAAGCTAGGTATCTATTAATTCATACACCATTCCTTTATACTCTTTATAAGCAGCATAATTATATCAATATATAAGTAAATGAACCATTTATATTAATAGCTGCTCTATTCTCTCTCTGGGTAGCTAATCCATTGAGAGAACTATTAATATTAAGTTTCTCTTTCTTATAATTCTTGATTGATCTGAGAAGTTTCTCTTCTCGATCGGTGATATCGTAACTCAGTGGTATAGCATTCTGTATCCAACTGTCATTCGTATATCGTATTTAGGCCATTCATGCAATCTTTTATATAGAAGTATGTACTCGAAGTAGGAGAAGTTGTATAGCAGTATACAAGCGTATGATGATATACAACATCAAAGGTTGTTTTAATTTCATAGTTTATTTATTTAAACGATTTGCTTAATTATTCTTAAGTGAATCGTACCCAAATACGACAACACGAACCTAATTGTTTCGAAAAAAATAAGGTACTTTTGGCACAGGCTAAACATTTCAGACACATAATTGGCTGCATCTTTGAATCCATTATACAAATGTTAATAGGAATCAACGGCTTGTTTACAAACGTTTTGTCTCTGACGTTAGCAAAACATCTGCTTGTTTCGGTGAATTACACAGTTGGTTTTCGTAAAGTTTAACAAAGACCTGAGGTAGTTGCTCCAGGTATTCAAATGCTCTGATTCAATCACAAGGTTTTGTGTCTGGGCACTTAGTGTCTTAAACAGAACTACTAATTTTAATTTCCGACTTTATCATTCCATTGCCACGTAACCAAAACCATGGTCTCTGTAATATTTTAAAACCAAGCAATTTACGAAAAAAGCCGTAATCTCAATCTTGTAACTTAGGGCTATTTTTGCTACTACCTGCGGCGGAAAGACCGTTTGTAGCGCCCTACGTTTCTATCCATAATTGGCTTTTTGGGAAAGTTTGTTCCAAATAAAAAAACCCCAGCGAAAGTACAGTTATTTGGTTTCGCTAAGCGTTTCATTTAATTAGATAGTGAAATAAGAGTATGCGAGTAGTATTGGCGGGATAAGGAGTATTTCTTTAAATAAGATAGAGTTTAGTAAAGAAGGTCTTTATAATTGCGAGTTGAGTGAGCACCATAGCTAGTTTAAACAGAAGCTGAACTGTTAGAAAATAAATGGATTTAAGTATAGCTTATATGCTTTAAATAAAAGATACAATGATAACAGTGTAATCAAGGGATCAATTAGAATGATAATAGAGCTGAATAATATATAAACCTAATAAGTCAAAGTGTTGAAATATGAGTAAAATAATAGATGAGGATTTTTATTTATGAGAGGTCTTATGGATGAATATTTATAGTGATGGACGTATAATCCAGTCACTGAAATTTAAGAAATTGGGGAAATTTATAGAAGAGATTGAGGTAATTGCGCCTACTAAGAGGTCACAGATCGGAGGATAAGAAAAAGATGAAAAGAAGTAGTTTTGACAGGGCAAACCCGAAAAGGTGTATTGCACTTTAGTAGGTGTTTAAAAAGGAAGAAAAATTAGAAATGCGCTCGATTTGTCGCATAACAATAGCTGGCACTATAGACTGAGAAGATGGGAAAGATAATGAGTTCGGAGAGTTAGGATAATGATTATAACGAGGATGAACGGGCGACTCGTGACGTTGATATTGACGATGAGGAGGATTAGGAAAATAATAGTTTTTTTAGTAATTCCCCATACTCTCTTTTTATAAAACAACGCAGTTTTTTTTTTTTTTTTTTTTTTTTTTTTTTACGTGGCACGGAAGATTTAAATAAGAACCTGGCTCAACATCATATTTTTTGCCAGTGCGACAAAATATGTATCGCAAGAGTTTGTAAGTGAGGTATGATCCGGAAGTTTTTTGTGAGGTTTAATTCAATGAGTAATGAAAACAATCAGGGCACATGATGATATTCAGTTCGTGTCCAAAATTGTATGCGAAAAAAATGGAAACTCCTTTTTTCTTCGATCTGAAATATTAATCTCATATTACTAGTGAGTCTTGTATACGATAAATCTTTTTCAGCTATCGCTTATGTTGTAAAAGTCCAATATAACTTCAAAATAACGAGCACTTCACTTATGTTTCGGCAATTATGCAGCGACCGGTCAACCTGCCGGTCGGAAACTAAATAACGACCAGCCCACCTGCCGGTCAAGATTTAAATGACGACCAATCAACCGACCGGTCAACCATTAGAAAACGAAAATTCACTATACCGGACGCCAGCAAAAAAATCCCTCAAATCTGATCAATGTTCCCCGTAATTGATACATTATTTTCATACATGATTCGCACACTCTAAGAAAAAAATCACTCACTTTTTTTTTCAATTTCCGCAGACTTTTTTATTTTTTTTTGCTCAGTTCACAAATTATTTTTTGCTCACTTTTGAAAAACAAATTGCCCACTTTAACTTTTACATTTCGCACAAATTTCGAAAACAAAGATATAACCAATGAACCTTCGTATTTTTATTGAAGAGGGACACGGAAACGCTATAGATGAGCATGGAAATGATCCGGTTGAAATGGAAGTAGACGTGGACGGTTACCCACTCGTTGACACTGTTGACTTCGATAGCTACGTGGAATTTAAACCACCCAAAAAGCCCGAAGCCTCAATTAAAACCAATAAGATGGTTTCTACTGCTGCATCAGGACCAGTTTCTTATTATAAGAAACATGGAGACGATGTCAACGGTCATTTTTTTCTATGTTGTTTATGGAGAAGGCCTTACTGCAGGTAAAGCAGGAAAGCAGTTAGATACTGGCCGTAGAAGCGCCTAGGACTGGTTGAAAAAAACCAATATCTGATTGTTGAAACGCAGGATGGATTCGAGACTAAAAAAACCGAAACGAACGTTGTTAGACCTGGTTTATTGAATGAAGACCATAAAAAGCATTTGAAAGAAACGTTTATCGATCACCCTTTTGCAACTTTGGATCGTGCAATAGAAAGTCTTACCAGCCAGTTCAGTGAATTGAAATTAACCAAAACAACTGTTTAGAACTTCATGACAGAGAAGTGTGCCTTGTCATTTAAAAAAGCATAATTTCATTTAAAACAAAGAAACTCGCCCGTAAGCATTGAGAAAAGATTTCACTGGGTTGCAAGATGCATTCAAACCGACATGGATTCCAATATTAATTGTGTTTTCATCGACGAGTCCGCCTTTCACATCCATTTGAAGCGAACAATTGCCTGGTCCGAAAAAGGCACTCGAGCCGAGGTTATCCATCACTGAAACGAGCGAAGACTTCGATAATATGCGGTGCTATATCCCCGTATGGCATTGTCAATGTTAGGATAAGGGTACCCCATTCTGCAGCTTCTAAGAAACGAAAGACGGTTGGAAGTAAAATGCAGAAAAGTATTGGTACTGTTACGAGACATTACTTCAATTTTATTGCCAGCACTATCGATGTGATGGATAGTCATGGGGAATTCAAAGGGCATTACATTATCATGGATAATGCGCCCGTACATACCTCAGATAATATTAAAAAGTTTCTCGAAAATTGTGGGTATCGGTGTTTGTATCTACCACCTTATTGCCCTGAATTAAACTCTATTGACCAGTAATGGTTTGTTGTTAACAGTAGATTGAAACATGAAAAACTGTTGGAGGCCGAAACTTTGAACATCAGAATCACTGAAGCATGCGAAAATGTCGTGATAAGCGACTTTAAAGGTATTTGCCGGTATTGTGAGTCCAAGTTCGAAACTTGTTAAAATGAAAATCCACTCTAAAATAATTCGTACACACTGTGCAAAAAAAATTCCTGGAAGTGAGCAAAAAAAATAAAAAAGTGTGCTGAGATTGAAAAAAGTGAGCAATTTTTTTCCAAGAGTGTCCAAATAATTTATGAAAATAGTGTATGATTATTTAGCATAAAAATAAGCAATGACAAAGTTTAATAAGTCATTACTTATTTATGACAGACTTGATGATTGATGGCTGATACGTAGATGACAAGGTGCTGACAAAGAAATACCAAAATTAATGCATCTACGTGACACGATCATAACAACAACAATGTAAAAGAACTAATCTTATAACCCAGTGTTTAAAGACTCGTCACTTGTCCAATACAGCGTGATGATTTACCCTTTTTTTTTATTTTCAAGCAACAAGTCGTAAAGTCTGTATGTCTGTGTTGAGGATGTCATAGATTATAATAAAAGAATCATCACATTTTACATAATAATGGATGATCATGTATAAATATTCATGGCTCACACTTCGCCCCATCAGTTATCATCAGAACCGTTGGTGTCTGTGCACAAGATGATTTGCCTTGTGACGAGTAAAATATTATAATACCATAAAAGTATAGTACAATCCCATAGGCGGAATATTCGGTTACTGAATATTGCACGCACTAAACTTTCTCTTTGGCATTTACGTAATGTCACCTGCGGAGATGAATTTAGATCCTCACGTACTTTTGTCTTTACTTTGTAAGGCAGGAATTACTTCATAACATATTTATTTAAACAGACATTACGTATAACATCATATCATATTCCTCTAACGCGTCACATATATTATCCGAAAGCCATCTAATCATTTAGTATAAATACCTGTAGTTTTTGCTAGTAGAATTCCCTAATCTAAATTTTCTCAAAATAAAAGATATACAAAGTTCTAACAGTATTTTCTTTTGTTACCGTAATTTACATTTTATCTCCATCCCAAACAGTCTGTTTATTTGGGTCGTAACTGATGCATCGCTGAAATGATTCCATGTATTTTTAAATCAGCAGTTCCAACGAGCTGCTTTACAGCTTAAACAGCCAGCTATCCGTAGTAATGTGTAGTGGGCTGTAGGTTTATGAAAAGAGAAAGAAAAGATTTTTATTAAGACTTTATTAAATACTCACCTGAGTATCATTCAAAAAAAAGGAATGTTTCTTCTTTATTATTTATAAAAGAAAAAGAGATTGTTTATTATAAAAAAAACTATTCCAGACAACCTGAAAGAATAAGGGCAAAGAGCAGCTTGCCTTTCACTACAACAAATTTACCATCAGCTCCAATCTATGGGATGATACGAAAAGTATCGAAAATGGCCCGCTGGAGTAATTGATGAAATTCAGTAGCCTCCTTACCTCGGCCATCCATCATCACGTTGGCCCTATAATACACATATGCCCGCCAGATACCAACCTTTTTGAATGGATTTTGGACTCTGCCATCCACTATGGCATGAGCCAATGCCAAACGTTGGTCGTCAGGAACAGGAAAGACCAAGCAAAAGTACTGGAAGCCGGTATCAACCTGAACATTTTGGATCTTTACCCGAACCTGACCGCTGTCATCTCTTTCAGCCAATTTCAAAATGGAAAAGGCGTCTTCGAAATCAGACATTTCCACCAGATCCACGGGGACGTACTAGCTGCTGGACTGCAACATGGACCAAAGGTCAGATACGTAATAACGTAAAACAAGGGTGGGTGCTTGTTCGTTCAAAGGAAAAGCAGCGCGAAAACCATCCAAACGAGCCACCATGCCCTGATTGAGGCTTCGATACAAAGCCTTTCCAAAAACAATATCGACAGGTGGTGTTCTCATGGTTGGCCTTTGTCTTTTGGCAGCTGGTGACTCTGGCATAGGCATAGTTCTTTTCATAGAATGCTCTTCGCATATATCCATAGCGTCATCATCATCAGAAAGGACAGACATCGTGGTGGCATGAGGCATAGGTGGCATAGGTAAAATTGTTGGCATAGGTGATGTTGTTGGCATAGGTATGTTGGTGGGCGTATTGGACATGGCGGTGGAGGGCATGTTGTCAACCTTGAATTCAGGCTTTTCAAAGATGACCTTCTTGCTCGTGGTTGACTAGACCTTTTTGGTTGATGATCCGGCATGAGCGCTCTTGCTGGAAGAAGAGTTGGTAGAAATAGCTACGGGGAAAAAAAAGAGGAATGAAATTAGGATACATATTTCATTCTTTCCAATTAAAACAAAATGGTCTTACCACTGTTGAATGGCATTTTAGTGAATTGAATTTTTTTTAAAAGGAAATAGGATTTATTAAAGGATAATAATAAAGAACGGAATAAAGGTAATCCAATTACATTGCTTTTATACCGATTGTAAAACAATGAATCACATTAGTTTTCAATATAGGCATTTTGCATGATTTATCTTTACTATACGTTCAGGAGAAAGTATAAACAATTTCTTTCCTCCAATCATCAAGTGCACAGCGTCGATCTTGGTGTGCATTTTTTTTTGTTACACATCGAGTGCCTTTTTTTAAATATATCAGGGGAACTGGATTTTTTTTGGTGGTAACCCCACCCTATTATTATCTTTTTTTTTTCCTTGTTCAAAGACACCTTCACATTGACATTGTATAAACAAATGAAAAGTAGAATCAAGTAAACAACCGTCATAAAGTAGTGGCACTCTTGCAAAAGACTCGTTAGTCATGACACACCCATTCTCCAAGAACAACACTGAAACAAGTCATGAACACTAGTAAAAAAAAAAAGGGAAATGAAAGCAACTTGTGAAGAGTGACACCTCCCCAACTCTATTACCATTACCAACCCCAAATCCAACAGTCAAAGTGTCTCCCACATGTATTTTGCAATTGCGTAAGGAGTAATTTAAAGACGTGCACAGCAGGGTTGGGGAAGCGGTCTTTTGCTATATTCGGGTCTTTGCCGAGAATTTCTTCATTTGAGGATTTGCACAGACAATCAACTTTTAAAGTGGGAGTATCCCTGATTGTACACAATATCACGTATGTAGTATCTCGCCCCCCCCTTCCAAACCTCTTTTTTTTCCTGTATAATTATTTCTGTAGTCATACGACATCATTTTAATAGTCAATGTATATTTGGTATTTGACAAAAATAATACACTTGCGAAATACACAGATACAACTATATTTTTATTAGAGGTAAAAATAGACTAAAAAGAATGTTGCTGCTATAAAATATTGAATCATTTTTATATTGCACAACTCTCCGGAGTTTTAATGATGAGTCAACCTTTCTGGTTTTGGAATAGATCTATACTTTGTTTTACGCCTTGGGTTAAATGAATACTACTTTTTAGAATTGTTTCCAGTTAACGTTGTCCCATATCAGTGGATTGGGAGCATGAGTATTCTAATAGATCTTTAGTATTAGGAGACACTTATTTATGAGATCATGCAACGGTTACTGTAAAAGATGCATACTTGTTTGTCAAGTGTAATTGGCAATAGAACATAATAGGTGATCATTTATTCGTTGTTTGTAATGAATAACATACGATCCCAAATATAGAATTATGTAGCCGTAGTAAAAATCGTTATGGACGATTCATGCATTTTACCTAGTACTGATAAAAAAGGAAATTTATTTTGTTATTAATTTAATTCATGCTTTGACTCATTGTCAAGTAAATTGCCCCACAACAGGACAAAATCTTGACTCATTGTTAAATGTTTTGACTTGATAAAACTCGTTTGCAATGATATAAGTACTCACACGGTCCATTCTGTCCTATTCATCTTTCAACTTGATAGTTATTTCCCTTTTCTTTAAAAAAAACCAACAAAAACCAACAAAAACCAACAACAATCAACAACAACCAACAACAATCAACAACAACCAACTAAAACCATAATCATGTCTACTTACGATAGTAAGATAGTGTATTATACATTCAACACAAAAAAAAAAAAAAACTAACGTTAAATCTTCTTTGAAAAAATTAGTTTCTCTCCAATCTCAATTCCCTGATATCATCATTCCCCGAAATATGGTAAGAACCATCCTTGGTAAGTAAAAAAATATAAAGACATTGAATGATTTTATCATGTTGACACAATCATTGAATAGCAAATATCGGGCAATTTCGTCAATCAACTGACGAGCAGGTGGTTCGTAACAACCTTGCGTTGTTGGAAGAGAATTTTGAAGACACTGATGCCGTATGTTACCGAACGTTTTACGCTGGTGTGTTTGCTGGCTCTGCCATCCAGGCATTCCTCCAAACAAGTCGTACCAGGGGTTCAGAGGAGCCAACATCTCCAGGTGGTAATGGAGGAGTCACCATTCGTGACGTGATGATTTTGTTGGAACGAGGTTTACCACCTCACTGGGAGGTTACTTGGTCTGTTCCGCACAACCATGAGGTGTATTACAATTGCTCCACCAACGTAACCACTTGGACAAGACCTCTCACCGCTGAAGCTGTTGATTATAATTCTCTTCATACTCAACAACAACCCACTTCTTCAGCTACACCAGCACCACCACCTCCTCCTCCTACCACTACCACCACTGCCCCATCAACTCCACCTCTTACCACCACCGCCGCCCCACCATCTCCCGTAGCACCAGATGAACCTGAACTCAAACAACAATCACCTGAAGCCGATGACGAAGCTGATTCACAATCACTTTCTGACACGGCTGTGGAGGATGATATATATGAGCTGGAATCATCGTCAAATGAAAGACAAACAACACCTACTGCTCAACCAAGAGCCTCTCCTGCTATTCCCACTTCTCGTACACCTACTCCCAGTGCTACGAGTATTCCTCGACCCACCTTTGCTCCTGGCTCTGCTACTTCTCGTCGACTATCAAGATCTTCCACTCCCGCTCCACCCACCACACCTACACCTACACCTGCTCCTACTGCCACTGCTACTCCTCCTCCACCTACTCGTCCTGCTCCTCCTACTCGTCCTGCTCCTCCTACTCGTCCTGCTCCACCTACTCGTCCTACTCCACCTACTCGTCCTGCTCCCCCTACTCGTCCTGCTTCTCCTACTCCCACTCCTCGTCGTCAAACTCGTCCTGTTCCAGCTCGTCCTGTTCGACCCACTCTTCCTGAAATTCCAGCTGGTCTGCGATAGGAACCTGAATATTACCAAAACATGACGAACGAGCTTGTGGAATGTGTTGACATGTTCTTCAATGCTGAAGCTCTGGACGAGGATCTGGCAACACGAGTGGTGGAGTATTATGTCAGAGACATTTGGGCAGTACTAAAAACGTCTAAAAACTAGATGGAGGTGTATCGTGTAGTTTTGCGTGATTTCGAAAACACGTCAAGCATCTTCAACAAGGCTACCATAAACAGTGCAAATCAACCAAGAGTGACCCTCCGCCGTTCGACCGTGGACACATGTCGTAATTACTTTCGTTTCGTGTTCCCGGTACCCACGTTACGTATTGTTGACGTTGCCGATACGTATGTGGATGGGGTTGCTTTTGGAACCATACGTAATGTCCTTATTCGACATGCCTACATTTCTTTTATGGCAAACATGTTTATGGTAGGGAGAGAGGCAGAGGCTAAAGCATTCCATGATGTTCTAGAAAGAAGGTTCTTTGCAACCTTGCGAATTATGCCGTCCGTTGCTGAAGATAGCAAATTCAAAATTGATAACAGCAAACTCATCTTTTGTCTCATACCAAGATCCATCAGACAATAACTCTCTCTTTTCGCTTCTCTCCTTCTCTCTCCTTCTGTCCTTTTCTCTTTTTGCTTTTCTCTCTTTTTCCTTTTCTCTCTTTTTGCTTTTCTCTCTTTTTGCTTTTATTTCTCTTCTTTTTTTTTCTATATATAAAAATAAATATCTACATCTGTTTCGTTCATCAATGTTCTTTTCTTTAACAAGATTGCCAAGTTTACAAAGAAAAGTAATCCTGTCATTATAAACAATATCTTATAGTTTTGATAAAGCGATTCAAGTCGAGGGTGAAATATAAAGGTGGAGTTAAATGTTACAAGTATAGTTTCATATTTTTATTAATTTACAGCAGTAAAATTATTCAACAGTTGACGACGGATATAAATCAACAGTTTAATAACTCCACGTATCTTTCGTGAGTCCACTTTTTGCACCTTAGTATCATTATACTCCCACCATTGACTGTTTGTATGGTCACGAATATATGAAATATAATGTCCCTCGGAGACAAACATCACAACTGCATGCAAATGATATAAATGTTGTTCAACTACACCACCAGGAGTAGGTGGAATGTTCATTCTCTGTCTGGGTGTGCCACTATATCGGTACTAAACAAAACACACAAAAAAATTAGAGGGTCAATTTAGACAGGCAGAATAATAATAGCAACATGCACTTACAGTGGGCGTGAAACAAACAATGGGTCCCATCTTCGTCATATCATGCCCAGTGAAAAAAGTGACTGGAAAGTTATTACCAACTACATCATCCACAATGACGTTTACATCCTCATATTCAACAGGAATAACCTCGTTTGCAATGTAGGACGACTTGAAAGGCACCAAAGTCTGATCATCTTCTACCACTGCTACTTGGATTGAATCTAGAATGAATCTGAAAAATTCTGACAGAATATCCAACAAACAATGAGTTCATCTTTTTTAAACTTTGTCATATACGTACTAACCAGCAGCATCATCGTTTTGGATATTGTCAACATCCATGATTTGATTAAGGGGAGGAGGAGGAGTCGTAGGAATGGGTGTTTCGGTACCAGGATGGCTGTTTCCCATCACAGACTGTGCTCGCGCGAAAAAATCATTTAGGCCAGACCTGTTATTCTGTTTAGCAGCCAACATTCGGGGAGGGGTAAACACTCGCCGACGACTGTTCATACCAGCAAAGACTACAGCAAGATCTCTCACCACTAGTCATATCATTTATTGAGTCATTGTTCTGTTCTCCTTTTTTTTTCATTGATGTGTTACTTGCCAACCTTGCCTTTCAACATTTCCTTCATTGGCACAGGAATATCGTTCAATCTTTTCACAACTGTGCTATTATCAGGTTCCAAAACCAGGGTATTGTTTAAGATGGCCTTTCGTAATCGTATAATAGAAAACAAACACTACACTATTAGCCTATTGTTGGATAAATCAACATGCTTACCTGAAGTGGTGCATTCATAAAGCAGGTGTTACCAGTATTCGTCAAACCAATAGTGCTAAAGTAATCGAGAGGTGAGCGGGAAGAATTTAACATTTTTTAATATGGAAAAGAGATGGCGTGTTTTATAAAGGATTAAAAAAAAAAGTGCCTTTGTCTTTACTAAAGTCAACAATAACGAACGCAATATTCTTTATAAACATTGATTTATTAATAGAAAAACCCATACACTTGTTTCGACTATCATCATCCAATAATCATTCGTTTTGTAGTTACACTTTTATCCCATTTATCCATGACTTTTTTGTTCATTACCTGTTCCCTTCCTACGGTATCCACATAAATACAGGTACACTCTATTCCTCCCTAACTCTGGTTTTTATCTATCCATCGTCTACTCGTTTTTCTCTCGTCCATACTTGTTATTCCATCATCATCCTCCGCTTTCCAGTCCTGTCGACTCATGCTGACTCGTTAGCTACATTTACAGTTGGCACCGCAAATTTTTTTTCCGGTCCAAGTATAATTTGGACCGCGAAAAAATTAGACCAGAGGTCGAGGTACATAATTTTGTACCTGAACCAGCGGTCGCGGTAATTATTTTGTACCTCGACCAGCGGTCGCGGTAATTAATTTGTACCTGAACTAGCGGTCGCGGTCCATGTACGCATGAAAACCGACCGCTACTTCCAGTTTCTAACGAATGAAAACATCATAACCTTATTATTTAACGAGATGGTATTGGAGGATATTCTTTGAATGTATATTAAACTAGGGCTATTGACCCTTGCAATATTAAATGGGTTTTACAAAAAATAACATTGGAAATAATAGAATATGAGGGGCAAAAATAATGTTTATATTGGTTTTTATTTTACAACGAAATAATTTATGAATGGTTTATACACGTATAAAAACTACGAAACGCCTTTTTAAATGTATACTGTGTAGTGTAAGGATGACAACAAACAGATACCATGCATAATATAGTGTTGGTTGTCCTGGTTGCATACGGAGACTACCAGATGCAGAAGTGATAACAAGCTAGATATATGACTTACCTTTGATAAAGCTAGATTGAACTAAGAAAGATACAGTTAGAAAATATAAGCAAGGCTTTCAATTTTTTTAATACTCACATTGTAGTTGACAATCACATGAAGTACCCTTTGCTGAGCTGTAAACAACTATAAAATAGAGTTAAACTATATAAACACGGTTTTCAGTATTTTAAAAAAGGCTTACTCGCTTTAGATGACAATCATGTATTTAGAGTGGACAGCAACCATGTACGCGAAAGAATGCAGTGGTAAGTTAAGCCATAAAAGCCAGTACGATATATAACAATATATCTAATAGCTTTTCAGTTAGTTATATGAGGATGTGATGTTTTGAGGTACTTACTATAATTTTTGAAAAAAAAAAAAATTTTAGAAAAAGAAAGAAAAGAAAAAAAAAAAAAAAAAAAGATTATTAACAAAAAAAAATTAAAACCCAATGCGGATTAGGGCTTAGTTTTGCTACGAGAGCGTCCTTCTATTATCAACTCACCCCTTGCCCGTTTGGTTGCTGCCTTTTTTGCGGCCCTTTTTTCAGCTCTTTGGTCAATCTTTGAAGACGAAGTAGATGGCTCAGGGGGTGGAGGTGAAGAAGCAGGTGACAAGCAGACAGATGCAGACAGGCGAGGAGATGGAGAGGGAGAGGGGTGGGGAGATTGGACAGAATCCGTACCAGGCACAGAGAAACTCTCCATCAGCTTCACCACATACCCTACATGATCCGAAGAATGGGGTAAGCTACTAATTACTTAATCCTTATTCGATCATATACTAACCAACTTCTATAGTCCATTGCGGTGTTATTCTGCTAAGTCCCTTGAACGGTCGATTGGTACATACAAAAAACGTATCCGGTCTTCTCTTCATCCTGGTATTAATGCTGGCAACATTATGGAAACCAAGGAAATATTTAAATTCTTCAATGCATCCGGTATTTTTGACTTCTCTGCGTTAACGGTATTCCCTGACAGCAACGAGAAGAACTTCGAGCAGCATCCTCAAGATGCCACCTATCCTCAACTCTGGTCCCCTTTTGATGATTCTTTTACTAAGGTTGGTGTGCTCTTGCAGGGTTCTTCGGATGTCCTCATTTGTGGTCTGTATCGCACAGTCCCTTGGTGTCGTGCGTTGATGGGTTGTATGACAAGGCTGACTGGCATGAGGCAACGAGTTGTATTGCCGTTTCATCAACAACAACACCTTCGAATTTCGACAAGGTTATTCCATGAAAATCAAGTCTACATTTCGGAGTTGTACAAGAAGAAGAATAGGTCATGCTCTCGTGGTGGTGAATTCGTCATGTTCGAAGCGATACATAAGAACAATTAAGTATATGTTTTTGCTATCGCCGTATTGCATTTATTGACACTCTTCAAATTTAGTCTATTCGTGCCAGTTAAAAACTGGTTCGTTTGTAAGATTCTGTTCTTTTTCCGTTTCCAATTCTCCGCCAATGAACCAGGGTCCCATTATGTGTATGGTGAATTGGCAAAAACACATGGCGTGTCTCCTATCTCAAAGTCTATCCCACGGATTCAGCTCTTTGGTGATAGCGAGCAAAAATTCGTTGTATTTGACACCAGGGATATTGTATCTTCTGTTGGATTGCTAAATTCCTCAGACAATTCAGCATACAAGTATGTCGTCAAAACTGGTGATGCGTTTGCGAAAGACATGTCAAGTTCTGCCGGAAAGATTGGGACTCTGGAGTAAAGAGCTATTTTTTTTTTCTTTTTTTTTTTTTGAATGTAGTAAAGGCTTTTCAACATCCGAAAAAAAAATTATCGCTTCATTGTGTCACACAAAATAACAGTATTTTCTTCAAACATCATCTTTGCCATCACCAAGGAACATATTTATCATTTTTTTTTCATAACACAACTTCCAATATAACATATTATCTTTATATAACAATTTTTTACAATTTTTATGTCATTTGCGTTTTTTTGATTTTGCGGTCCAAGTCTAAATGTTACTTGGACCTCTGGTAGAGGTAATTAGCTAAAATTGGACCGCAACCTCCGGTCCCGGTCTAAATTGTAAATTTACCACGACTAAGTTTTACGGTGTGGTCCTGAAAAGGTGTCGTCAAAACCACTTGACTAGCAATGGCAATTCCCAAGTGTCATGCTCTACTCGGCACACTCAAACACGGATATCGACTTTATTCTTCCTTGCACTTGTTGGTGGCTCGTTTAAACTCTGTATTGTGTATTCATTCTTTCATTCATTTCTAGCCATGTATATAGCACCATTCTTTACTCTACCTGTCCACCATGGAAGTTGCTACTTGCCCCTTTTCTTTTTTTTAAAAAAAAACCAAGGCTGTTGAATAAAACCAAGTCGTCTTGTATTCTTGACAGCTAATACCACTGCTTACACCGTGTCTTCAACAAACACGTCAATAGTATCCAGGGTAGTAATCTTTAAAAGTTTTTTTTTTTTTTTTTTTTTTTTTTTTTTTTTTTTTTTTTTATAAAAAGAATGAGCGAACGAAAAAAAGAGAGAAAAGTACACTTTTTATTTTTAAAAATAATCTCCTTTTGGTAATTCATATACTCAGCCCCGTCGCCCCCTTTTTTTTTTAAAAAAAAAAGGTGGGCACAGTGTGTATGCAAAATACGCGTCGACACTGGCTTCATGTTTACAATGATGTACAATCCACTGTATCAATTCCAAAAAAAAATCTTTATATACTTGTTTACTATGCAATCGTATGAGTACCATGGTGTTATATTACGCTGTTACACAATGCACATGCTCATTGTAGGATCTTTTTTTATCTCAGTGACAGAAATTATGTACCCCCAAACAAAACCTGTAATTTTCTTTAGGCATATTGATAATGACATAAGCAGTGACAACCGACTTGCTGCCAATGTATCATCATCAGTAAAAGTATAGAACCTATGTCTTTTTTCTTCTTTCCTCTACTTCATTATAAACACTCTTTAAGTACCCCTTTCTTTTTCTTGAAGTAAATAAATTGACAGACCGAGAAAGCCGTAAGTATCCAAACTGACGATAAAATTAAAGCAAAATCTAAACACAGTCTATAGACCACGATCGTGTACGTCGAATTCTTGCACCAATTACGTATGAACAACTGTATCCAGATGAGCAACAACCCCCAAATGAAGCAGATTCTTTAAACGACAATGTAAGTACTATCTTTATTTTTTATATATACAATTCTAAAAAAACAAATGGTTCATGTCTATAGCTCGCAGATACGGGCATTCCTGCTACTTCTCCTCCTACTCGTGCTCGTCCTACTCGTCCCCCTCCTGTTCGTCCTGCTGCTACTCGTCCTACTCGTCCCACTCCTGCTCGTCCTGCTGCTACTCGTCCTACTCCTGCGCCTGCTACTGATGCTGCTGCAGATGAAATAATTGTTGATATCGAAGAATTTAATAATATGAGCAACCGCTTGCATCGTACCAACAGAATGAACGATTACATTAATTTACAATTGTGTGGTGTTCATACAAATGCAGAGGGTAATCCCCAGAACGTGGGCATTGTTCCTCAATTTCAAAATCATGTGCTGCAAAGACAGGACCAAATTCAGGTTTCACTGTTGACATTGACATGATTGGCGTATGGACGGATTATATTCCCACTGTTATTGGTGCTCCCATCAGTTTGAACTTGGACCCTTACAACACATTCACATCCAAGGTATCTCCCTTCTTTCATGGTACTCCTCTCAATAAGATCCAAAACATTAGTATTGCTAGATTTGGTCATTCTTCCAGATTTAACGTAAGCATCTATCCATACCAATTTTTTCTTGTAACGAAAAAAAAAAACTGATGATATATCTAGTTGTCCGTGTTCTTTCCGATAATGAGAGATCCTCGTGATATCAGAAACCAACAAAACTTAAGGGTGGATCAAGCAACAAAAGAAAATTTTGTTAACAATGTCCTATTCCCTGCTCTTCGACAAGGTACGGATACTCCTCACTTGTTTCCCGTCAATGCAAGAGACGAAATGTATAGAAAGCGTACTGCCCAAGGCACATTCGCCTATTCTGGTGTGTTCATTCCAGAGGCATTTCTAGTAGGGATCGTTGATATCATGAGAGAAATCATCCATGAGGAAAATATGCAGCAGTTCCGAGGATTCTTCGTCTTTTCCCATGGTTATGGTTTCAAGCAAGGTATCGAATATCGCGGCTCAGAAGGAGAGGATGTTGGTGCCATTGTCCGAGAAAATATAACAGACATTGATTGGCAAACCATCCCAAATGATAATGTCGTATTCGATCTCGCAGTGAATATAGGCTTTGATGGGTACACCGGATTATGGGTCGCAGACCATGAGATGGAAGACGGTGTTTTGCTGGCAACAACCAGATTAATGTGGAGCTTATTCGATCATGTTGTCCATCCAGCACATGCAAGATATAGACACGATATCTTTAGCTTCATAAAGTCCGTCGGTGGTTGTAGATACGTAGCGTTGGATCAAGTCCATGGAGAAGGACAGTATAACATCTTGTCCATGCAAGCATATCATGCTATCAAAACGCCTTTTTATTCAGCTCATCGTGGTAGTGATCGTCTCACGCATGACTGTCCCATCGAGGCTCTTGCCTTGACATCCGGTACAGGCACCTACAACATTGTAATTATTTATTTTTTTCCGTATTTTATGCCAAAAAAACTAACCCCCCTTTTTTTTTAGAACGGTACAAGAAATATCTTTCAAGATATTCGTCAGTTCACGTATCCTGCCAGATTTGAAGTTTCTCTCCATTTACGTCACGCACAGGATTTCTATGATGCCATTCCTCGTCTCGTCCAGTAAGTGTTCTATACTGTTCCATAACAAAAAAAAATTATTCATTCCAAAAAAAAAGGAGGGAAATATTAAATGAAAGAGGGGTGCCGGTGCTGGTATTCTATCCAACAGAGGTCATTTGCGACTTTGAGATTCACACGTTGTTCGCTATCGAGGCCATGCTTGCTGTAATAAACGAGCTCCATGTAAATATCCGATTAGAAAATCCCAGTATTCTTACTACGTAAGGTTGTTTATCAGTTATCTTGTGTGGACTTGTGTCTCGACCTCGTTCATTTGAATACTATCGTGGTTGTTTGGAGTTCATGTTCCAAAATAGCAATATGAACTCACATTATTTATTGACTCCAGATCTTTTTTTCTTTAACGAAGAACTTCAATCATGGGATTGTATGGAAGTGTATGAGGCGAACATGACCATGTTTACGCCTGAAGGAAGAAAGGCTTTGGAGACTAAAAGATTACCAATACACGTACTGCTCCTACAGCTTCAGAACGTACTCAACGTTATAATTTGCCTACGGATGAATTTTTGCATCCAATCAACTACCAGGAATTCGAAATGAATGACACTTGTCTGTTCGATCTGGGGACATTAGACGAAGACGACCAATCAATGTACACTTCTTTAAATCCTACTACCTTTACTTTGGTAAACATGATTGTCACCGAAGGCCTTACGGAGTTGGTAGCTGTCTCTCTTGTGAATTGCTTTTCTCAAGACTTGTTCAACTTGATTAGCAACACAAACGCATTCAGACCGGACGTACTCGATAACAATGTATTTACTTTAGCGAATTTGAATAACAGACACTTGTTAAATGAGGTTTTTGTAAGTAGTATATCCCATCCCTTCCATTATTTCTATATTTCAGATTATTCATGATGACTTTGTTGATAGGCAATGCCAGTCTATGTCAAGCAGAATAGAAGTGTAGCAACAATGAATAATACTTTTGATCAAGTACTTCCAAATGTGGCTTCCAGTAACCTGAATCATATTGTGGAAATTATTCGAAACAATTCCAGAATAGCGGTTATTGTGTATTCAAGAACCGCCTACATTATTATCCTGTTTTTTCTGGTTAAACAAAATTGTCGTGCTGAAGCTGAAGTCTTCCATCAATTGCTTTGTGACACCATGTTTGACTATGTTGTTGCAGCTTATCTAAATTGACTTGCTGTTACACATGATAGGATCTTTCCTATAACTACGCCCCCTTTTTTCTTAATAAATACTTCTTCAGTTTTATCTAGACTAAAAATCTAGTTTCTTAATAATGTGTAATTGGCTCCTTTCTGTTTCCCTCAACTTCATATTCTTGTTCTTCTTAAGTCTATAGTTTTCATAAAACATTTAACTTAAAGTTCATATTTCACACTCGACTCGATTCTCTTTATTATTAAAACCGTATATAACTATGTTTATAATAACATAAATACTTTTCTTTTCAATCTTAGCAATCAGTTTATATTTATATTAGTTACGCCCTCTTAAAATCATCGTTGATTATCTTCTTATCCTAAAAAATTTATATTTTAAGATTTCTTAAGTTGACTACTTCCAGTCTGGTACTCACTTTCATAACTACTTTATTATTCACATCAGTGTTAATAACTTATATCCATCTTATCCTTTAAGAACTACTACCAGTGTCTTAACAATGTTACTCTTTCCCCAGATAATCAAGCCAACTGCAAATGGCACGGAACCAAAGCTAAAAAAACAGACAGAAACACTCAGTTTTCTTTCGTCACAACAACCATCGCCGACAGACCAACAAGACCAACAAGAACAGCTTAAAAATATACATAAACATCGGTTATACATGTACCCTTTCTGTCACACACACCCACTCACACTGAAACATATATATATATTGACATTATCATTCTAACTTGTTTTTATACAAGTGATAACCCTCCTAGAAAATATGTCTCACTGTTGCTTTTTATACAGGTGATGACTCTATATACAAAAAATTGAAAATAACTCTCCCTTTTTTTTTGCAAGATATAAACAGTGAGCAAAAAAAAAGGGGGCAATAGTTCTCCTCTGATCTTTTTTCAATGCAATTGAAGAGTAGTCATCTCAATTTTGAGAAAAATACACAATTACCACTCAGACCTGAATTCCTATAATTCAGTTCCGTGCAGTAACCTTACATCTTGCCCAATTGCCCGAACAGCCGCTAATCTCTCTTTCTCTTATTTTCTGGTTATTTATTTATTACTAAGTTATACCAAAAATATCAAGTCGTATGCATTACCGTTATTATTTGGTCCATTACTATTAACCCACCGTCAGTTGGTTTTTGTTTTTATAATAAATTTAATCGTCCCATATTTTACTACGCTTTAATATTTTAACAGTAATAATGTTTGATAACTATCACAAAAACATTTTTATAAATAAATATGTAAATGGTTTTTATATTATGTTTGAAATCATTACTACAACCTTTCGCCTGCAAGGAATTTGTAGCAAAACAATTTTTGGGGTATAAAACTGGAACTAAAAAAGAATAAAAAGTTTATCTTGTTCAAGCTTAGGGGCACGTTATATTAATTTTTTTCTTTGAGACATGATTTGCATCGCATGATTTGGTATATGAAACATGGTCTTGAAATATTTAGTCAGGTTGATTTCAATGCGTACAAAAGATAAAATAAAAACTAGACACCTGTAACGAAATACTTTAGAAGGAGTTGGGTAACTTCAACACAGGCAGTTATTATGTTAGGAAAGCCTTCACAGGAGATTCATAGCAACCAAAATAGTTAAATTTCGCCTTTTTGGACACTGCTTGCACACGTGATTAGGCGGAAGAACAATCAGGAATATGATTGTATTCAGTTTATGGCATAGATTGCGTAAAAAAAAACTGGAAATGCGTTTATTTTTGTAGCCATAACATTTTCAGCTCAATATACAAATAAGTCTTGGGCACAATAATTGACTTTCTGCAATCGCGACTTTCGTGAAAGTGTAATACATTTCAAAATAACGAACATTCCAGCCATGTTTTAGCAGTATACATCGACCGGTCAACCCACCGGTCAACTTATTGGTCGAAAACTGAAAGCCGATCGGTCAAATCGCCGGTTGATAATTACAAGGCGACCGTACAATGTACCGGTTAAAAGCGAAAAATTCCTGATATCTTTTAAATGTCCCACTTAGATGATCATTCTTTTAAGCGAGTACGGCTTTTTCCTTTTTCAAATAGTATCTTAGAGTGCATCTGCTTTTAGGTGGTACCTAAAACAAATTTATGCAGAGACAAATATTAAGATGGGTAAAACACATTTTCCTTAAAATTAATATCCCATCTGAAAGGTTAGGGGTGTTCTCAAGCAAATTATTTAAAATTTTAAAATTTTGATTTTAATTAAAAATATTTGACCCCACCACTATGGAGGGGTCAAATTTTAAAAAATGTTTTCTGACATTAAAATATCATTTTAACTCGAAAAAGTTGTCGTATTTGGGTAAGATTCACTTAAGAATAATTAAGCAAATCGTTTAAATAAATAAACTATGAAATTAAAACAACCTTTGATGTTGCATATCAGCATACGCCTGTATACTGCTATACAACTTCTCCTACTTTGAGTACATACTTCTATATAAAAGATTGCATGATCGGCCTAAATACGATATACGAATGACAGTTGGATACAGAATGCTATACCACTGAGTTACGATATCACCGATCGAGAAGAGAAACTTCTCAGATCAATCAAGAATTATAAGAAAGAGAAACTTAATATTAATAGTTCTCTCAATGGATTAGCTACCCAGAGAGAGAATAGAACAGCTATTAATATAAATGGTTCAATTACTTATATATTTATATAGTTATACTACTGATAAAGAGTATAAAGAAATAGTGTATGAATTAATGGATACCTAGCTTCTACAACCAAATATACAAATATCGATAAGACATTTTATACTTGGGATCGTAATTTATTCATTACAAAGACAATGAATAAATGATCAACTATTATGTTTTATTGCCAATTACACTTGACAAACAAGTATGCATCTTTTACAGTAACCGTTGCATGATCTGATAAATAAGTGTCTCGTAATACTAAAGATTTATTAGCATACTCATGCTCCCGATCCACTGATATGGGACAACGTTATCTGGAAACAATTCTAACGAGTAGTATCCATTTAACCCAAGGCGGGAAACAAAGTCTAGATCTATTCCAAAACCAGAAAGGTTGACTCATCATTAAAACTCAGGAGAGTTGTGCAATATAAAAAGGATCAATTATTTGATAGCAGCAGAGTTCTTTTAGTCTATTTTTACCCCTAATAAAAATATACTTTTAACTCATTACTTTTCTATGTAATATTTTGTCAAATACCACAAATCATGTATTTTGATAAAAAATAAGTACTAATTTATTCATTTAACCAATTATGATAACACTCCAAGTTCGTTTTGTAAGATGGACTCAAAATAGGACCAAAAGACGATCTTCTATCCAGTGCTTTGTTAACTTCTTTTTTCAACAAGGTTGCTACGGATTCCACTTTTTCCTTATACACCATTAATTGTTGTAATAAAAGAGTCAACTTCTCGCTGTCGTCGGGGCTGAGTGGTATACGTATTCTTTTGCTTATTCGTTGAGTGGTAAAATTGGAAGGGGAGCCAAGACTTGTTTGTAATTAGTCGCCTTTGATGCCACAGATTTGAAACGAGGTTACTGTGAAAGACGGTGGATAAATAAAGCTAAAAGAACTGATTGCTTTTTGTATGATTGTTTTGGCTTCCAGAAGTGGTTTAAAGTGGTCATCCTTGACCTTGGTAGTGGTGGCCTTCCTTCCGACTTCAATATTCGCTATATCAATGAATCTCTGATTGATAATAACTCCAAGTCTGTAATCGATTTTGAACTTGCTCTCAAAGCTTTTCAATACTGTATCGCCGCTATATAGAGCAGACAATGGAGTTAGTATTCTCTGATATCCATCCTTTTTTTTAAAAAAAAATACAAGCTTTGTATTTACCTCTTGACTTGTACGATGGAATCAGAGAACATGGCTTCTATGATAGGTCCCCAGATATTTATGTTATAATCTTGTTCTGATTGTTCATGAGCAACAGATAAGTCAAGTAGGCTTGGTTTGGTGTACAAGGCATTCATACTATACGCATAAGATAGTCGCATTATTGTGTTGTTAGCAAAATATCACGCATAAAAGCTGGGAATATTTGGAACTTACATGGTGGTAATAATCTTGTAAAAATATAAAGAATCTTTGGGACATTGTTGCTGGTATGATAAAGATCGAATATACCTCTTATAAGCTGTTGACTTCTATGATATTAAATGCTGTTAATTAACAATATTCTGATTTGTAAATTTGCTCCTCATTCACATGCCTTTTGTGTTACAGAGTTTACCGCAGCAATCAGTTTTGGATGTAATGCTGGTAATTGGTCCTCTTCAGTACTTTGATGAGCAATCAGTAGCTCCTTCCAACCATCAACATCATCTTGTTGAGACGAGCTCCCTTGGTTTGACAGGTCAACAATGCTATTTTCAGTTAAACTTAATAAAAGATAGGTATTTATATTTAGTGATTGCTAAACAAAGTATTTGGTATGCTTAGTGGTACTTACTTTTGGGACAAACGGCGGTCCTTTTCGGTACGTTTGGTTGACTAGATAAAATAAAGACTCTGTTGTTAGAGCTATGTATTACATTTGATATAAGTTTTTGTGTCTTACAGAGGATGCTTCTTGGGACAGCATGTGGTCCAATTTTCTTTTGTTTATGTTTGCGCTGATTATATCTTTAACTGTATCAGTCCAGTGTGTACTTTCAGTAATCATCTAAAATGATAATTAGTCAAACGTGTTATAATCTGTATCTGACAAACTTCATACTGCAAAATTATCGCGTATATATTCTTCATATAAGAATTCTTTCAGTTGTTTGTCTTCAACTTCCTCATATACAGACTTAAAGGCAATTTTCAGTTCCTTTTTAGCATAAGTACGTGTCTTGAATCCGAAATGAATATAGAATGATTGTGTATCAAAGTCTTTTCCTTGTTCAAGTATGTAAGCTTTCTTAGACCTAAAAAAACATAGATAAGTAACAGGACAAGCAATATGGTGTCATATCATATATTTACATTTTAAGAGTATCAAAGATTTTAAAGAAAAGTAACAATTTTTTTTTGTATGAAACAAGATTTTATTAAAATGAAAATTAGAAAAATGGATAAAATAAGGGTTATATATACTTGTTTTTTTAGTGTCTTTTCGTTTAGTCCATAGACTAATAAACAGGATTTGAAGTTGCATAATCTCATAGTTGCTAAGTTTTTTGATGTCAGTAATAAAATTTTAAACTGAAGAAAGAAAGCTTGACAACCTTTTTTGTTGTTGTTTTTCTGACTTCATTTTGAACATTGTCGAATGAGTGAAATCCCTTAAAAAAAAGTGTCATATATACAGTATGTCGTGTCTTTCTGACTTTTTAATCTTTAAATCATTTATCTGACAATAATCATGGAAGTACCAACGGCATCAATCTGACTTTCAATGATAAATTAGTGTAAGTGATATTGATGATTTTATTTTATCTAAGATATTTGTTTCCACATAGATTTTATCAACAATTGAGCGATTACTTGATCAACAATTAAAGTCTTTTTTTAAATGCCAACACATTATTTTAATGTTTAAAAATAAAAAATTTATTAAAGCAAACAAAACCAATATAAACAGATACACAATTGACATTCAGTAATGAATGTTGCCCTAGATTGGCCACGTGGAGGCTTGAATCTTTGCCATCTCTTCAAAGTGTTTGATAAAGGTCAAAAAATATGGCGTAAAGAAAAAAAAACCTTTATCCATTCCTCAGCTACCGCCCCTCCATCACTGCCATCTTACAACCGTTATATCCAGTTAAGGACCGCCTAGTAAATACAGTTTACTTTCTACTATTAGTGTTTATTTACCAGTGATGGCAAATGAAAGACGCAATCTAGATTACAGTCTCTGAGATCCCAGCTATACTCAACCCAACCACTGATCAGGCTCAGTATTACGGGGTTTTATAGTGTTATGACTTTAATAAGTTACGAAGGTAAGACATAGAAAAAAAAAGAAAACGGTCTGTGTTTTTTTAGCGTCAAGAAAAAAAGAAAAAAAAATTGGGCTGAATTCACACGTATAGATCTTGTTTCAGGGTCATCGGGATTCGTTCCGTTTTGCATCTACAATCCTTTATTTACCATCCTTGTGAAAAATAAATAAACAATTTATTCCTTAAAGGCATTAGTTGTGATAGGATAGGATTTATGGAAATACTTTTTAAAAGTGGGTCATTTTTATTTAAAAAAAAATCGGTGTTATTTATTCATGATATTTATCATCTTATTCCACATCGCCTTCATCATCATCCTCTTTTTCAAACTCGGCTTTTGTTGTCCAAGCATTGTAATTGGATTTGTTTTTTATTGACCTCAGTAATGATTGTCTCGGTTTCGTTTTCGGTACGGGAACTACACACCAACTAGAAACAACCATATTTGGAAAGTTTTTTGAATCAAAAAAATGAAGTTCGAAGTTCAGCCAATAATTGATGGCCAAATTAAAAATAAAGTTGTATTTACCAATAATTTCTTATTTAAAGTCTATTTTTTATTTATTTATGCCTCGGAAGACATATGGTTTTTTTGTAGCAACTAAAAATAGGCTTTCTTTAAACAAAGGAAAAGACAGATGTAAAAATGCTTGAACATGCACCAGAAAGAACTAGAGACTTTAGGGGATTAATTTTCACTGTACTAATATGTAAATTTCACGATTTTGAAATCCGATGTTGCACAAGATAGTGTAAGTTTTCATCAATTTTTACACTGGATGACTTCCAAAACTCAAAACAGAAATTAAATTAACTTAAAATTAACTACGGAAATTCTATTTTCCGAGGTTAATTTCGCATGCCTTCCAAAACGCACAAAAATTAAGATTAATTTTTTTTTAATTTTATTAATTCAAATAATTCATAATTTCTTGCTCCCTTTGCTTCCAATTAGCGTAGTAAACCGTTCGGATTTGGTTTACACCAACGGTTCTTACACGGAAGTTGTGTAACCTCCATACAAGGGTCAAAACATCTCTACGCTGTTCCTTATCAGAAGGAAGTTTTGCATGCAGCCTTCCAAATGACCCTTGTATGGCTCTCATTCCCCATTCTACTGCCTGACGATGCTTCGTAATAACGGCATGCTTTTTTTGAGTTGCCACATCACCTCTATCTACACCAACTGCGTTTTCTCTTGGCACACTCAAAATCTTGCCCGCAAATTCTCGCCTACAATTGTGATATATTTTAGGTCTTGTATTTACTAAAAAATGCCTTTTTTTTTCATTTTTTTAGGAACCATCTCCTACTTCTTCTGAAAAGGGTAAAAAAGTCGTTTCAAATAAGCGTAAAAGAGCACAATAAAATTATTTTTTTATAAACAAACTCTTCGCAATACATTTATTTTACTTTCATAATCCTTAAAGCCTATTGCATGCAAAGTTTTAAAAGAAAATGTAAAAAAGATTTTTTTTTTTGAGTTAATTTTTTTTTGAAGTTAATTTTCAAGTTAATTAAGGGGGGTGGGGGGTGTCAATTAACTTTTCTCCATTTAAGCAGTAGAAAATGTCTTAAAATTAAGGTTAATTTTTGGTTACACATCGTAAAGAATATTTTTAAGTCCGTTTAATTTTGATGAATTAACAGTTTTGGAAGTCTTCCACTATTAGTGAAAACGCTTTCACTAATCTGTCTTTGAAATAAGCCAATTGTAAATGTTAATATTACATTATTTTAGCACCGATTTTTGCATTATTATGAGTCTATGATTTCATGATTTTAGTTGTCTTTTCTTACTTTGATCATTTAATAAACATAAAACATGTCCCAACAAAGCACAGAACCTAACAATTCCGGCTACAGCAGTAGCAACAGTAACAAAGACAACAATATAAACAGCAATAATGATAGCAACAATGACAGCAACATCAACTTTATTCAAGACGGTAAATTGACTGGGTCGAAGTCTACTGAGAAACGTGGTCAATGGTCAGAAAGTAGAAAATTGGCAGCCGTTGAGGCCAGCATATCTCATCGTCCTTTTGACAAGAAAAAAACCAATGTAACAGTAGCATGGGATTTAGTTCTCCAAGAAGTACACAAAGTAGACCCTCATTTGAGGTCTCTTGGTTTGACTTCATTAAGAAACTATTTGAAGAAAGCAAGAAAAGAAATAATAGAAAAGAAAAATGCGGATCGACTTGCCAGTGGTACAAATGATTCTGAAACGACTCTCGAGAATCGACTGAGCTCAATGGATGATGAGGTAACTAATTAAAAAATTTGATATACTACAAGGTTTTAATGATTTCCATCGATTAAACTTAAGATGACTGAAGTCGAGACGAACAAGGATGAAGAAGATGCTCAGGCCAGCTCTGCCCGTATAAAAAAAAGAGAAGCCCAGGCAGAGCTATGCTCTCAATCGTTAAAAGGAGTGAACAAAAAAATAAAGGCAACTCAACGCGAGATTAAAGAAAAGCACCCACAGATATCTCAGCAGCCAGAGGCAAGAGAGGAGATGTATGTGATCGAAGACGATAACAACAAGATGGAACGTCCTACACAACAAAAACATTTTGATAGAAAGCGTGCAGTAGAGGAAGCACGAAAGAATGAGTATGCTTTTGCTTTGGCTGAATCGGAAAAGCAGATACAATACCAGCGTGCTTTTTTGAGCGATGTTTAAAGATTGATCAACAAAGGCAAAGAGGAGACAATTGCGGCTGTAGAGGCAAGCCAAAAGAAATTTGCAGATGACATCAAGATAAATCAAAAGATCTTTGAAGATAACTTGTTGACATCTGTAAATAAAGCAATATCGTCTCAAGCCAACGCTCAGCAATACCCTCCGCAGGTTGTCTATCCTTACCCCCCAAAACCACCTCAACAAATACCTCAAAAAATGTATCAATTTAAACAAAACGACTCAAAATAAATTTATTAAATATTAGTTATACTGTCGATATATTGTTGTAACGTAGGAGGTGATAGTCCAAAGAAGAAGCTGGTTTGATTTCCATTATTAATACAGGTATGTATATTTTTCAAAAGGGTTGAAACAACATAGAACATTCCAACACGACTTAGAGACACCTTTTGTCCTGGTCTATATCTGACGAAAGCAAACAGAGTTGCGACATGCCCAAACTCCCACTCCACACATTCCCTGACTGAGGACATCATTTCGTTTGTTGTACGTTGATTATCTGTTAGAGCCAAACCAGTCAAAGAAGGTCTAATAAGGCAAGATGATGGCCGATATGCCGGAGCACCATACAGAGCGTAGAATTTATCGCCAATATCTTCACAGTTCAAGATTTCATCCAATTCGCTAATGATATCTGAGCTATCCAACATGTTCATGTCATGAATCGCCCCAGCAAATGGTCCACACAAGCTAACAGTGATACCGTCAGGAGTTACAACTGCTTGGTATTTCAACCCGTGCCCTCTCACATGACCGTTGTATACACTACCTTGATTTTCACCAGGTCTACACACAGCATTCAAAGTTCCATCTATAAATCCAACGACCTCAGTATAAGGCGAGCCTTTCTGGATGATAGCTTCGCTGAATCGTCTCAAGTTGTAAGGTCGCAAATGATTTCTTGTAAGACGTATACCTTCGTTGTACTTCGAATACAATAATACAATCATTTCATTGAATATCGTATAAATAGTCGAGTAGCTTATACCAAAAAGGAGTTCAAGATCAATCAATCGAGACGGATAGGCAAGTCTACGAAGCATGATAGCAAATGCCTCGATGATATCCCAATAAAATTGTTGGGATGTATTTGCACGACAGGTAATCCTCTCAGTAAGATGCATGCTGATCACTACAGATTGTATTTGCTGATACGTAAATCTAAATAGATGGATACTCATCTCGTCAGTGAGGGACTGGATATCTAGACGTTGACCATCATTGTACATCGTGGATGGCATATCTTCCTCGAAACCTTCCTCGAAATCGTCCTCATATTCGTCCTCATATTCGTCTTCGAATTCTTCTAGAGTCTGTTCCTCTACTTCACGTAACCGGTTGTAGGCACTGGTTAAATTATTTCTCCACATGTTAATGATATATTCAGACATTTTTATGTATTGTTTTAAAGATTATTTGAGAAGAAAAAAAGAGTAATGCCATTGTTATCATTATATTTAAGTCGCAGATTCATAAATGTCTGACGTTATTGGATTATATGTTACGCTTTATTAGGAAAGTGCAAATCTACGATGACATCAATATTTATTACCAAAAAAAAAAGTGTAAAAATTAGTGAAAATCTAGTCCCCTAAAGTCTCTACTAATAATACAGTAAATTGTCACATCACATTTAGGATGGATAGTAATATACAAGTTTATCATGAATCACACATTAACCCGCTTGTTCTCATCCTACCGTTGAAGTCTGTACACAGGAAACAACTCTGTGGCGAGTAGATTTTTCTTCTGCAAATAGCAATACCTACAATGGAATAGTCCTGGACAAAAAATATTAATAAATCCGAGTGTAAATATTACTCTCGTCATTTGATGTTTTATTACTGTTAATCACTCTGACTAATATATATACTCGGTATGGAAGGGCTAAATTTAACGATATGTTGATTATTTACTATCAACAGGTTATTACATCATGATCCAATAAGGCACATAATATTCCCCCTATAATTGTATAATTTTTCATACAAATATCCCTGGTTTTTTCTTATAGACCATCATAAGTCTTTTAATTATTTTTTTTTTGTGTACACATAATGGTATGTTCCGCTTGAAATAAACCCAATAAACAAGTGCGTGTGAAAAGCGCTTCGATTAAAGGCATGACAAACAGCCAGGTAGAAGAGATTTTTAAGTGTTTAAATTTGAAATTAGTGAACGAGGTTCAAAAAGACGTCCAGTTCGAGTATGTATCCTGACCAAATTATTTTTCAATTACTAATTTTTCTTTTCTTTCTTTTTAGTACTTGTTATCTTCATTTCTCATCCATTGAAGGTGCGTCTGTGTTTTATAATAACTATATTAAAAAGGGCATCACCATCAACAACATGCATTTTACACTCCTTCCCGCCCGATTCCGTGATGGCACTGTGGTCACTTACCAATTCCAAAAATTAACTTTTAACAACCCGCCAAGTTCCAATGTTAACGTAATTCACACTGCTACCACGTCTACACCCATGCCTTCAACCACGCCTATACCTACTACCAAGTCTATACCCATGCCTTCCACCACGCCTATACCTGCTACCACGCCTATACCTGCTACCACGCCTATACCTGCTACCACGCCTATACCTGCTACCACGCCTATACCTGCTACCACGCCTATACCTGCTACCACGCCTATACTTGCTACCACGCCTATACCTGCTACCACGCCTATACCTGCTACCACGCCTATACCTGCTACCACGCCTATACCTGCTACCACGCCTATACCTGCTACCACGCCTATGCTTCATTACAGGCCACTGTTGATTTCACACCCAGCCGTGAATGGAGGCAACAGACAAAACGTGCGATAAAAAAAATCAGTAACGAAATAAAGCAACTGAAGAAGGCACGTACACATTTAAAAAAAGCCTTAAGAAACGAGCACTAAAATTAACACGTTCTCCGCTTATGACACAAATCATTACCTTTTTTCACTTATCACGTATACAAATTTTGAAATAAATTTTGTGATATTTGATAAAATGCACGTATAAAAATAATGAGATAAAACGAATATTTTTATTAGGGTAAAAATAGACTAAAGAACTCTGCTGCTATGAAATAATCAATCCTTTTTATATTGCCAACATCTCCTGGATTTATGATGAGTCAACCTTTCTGGTTTTGGAATAAATCTATATTTTAGTCTTCCATCTTGTGTTATCTAAACTCTACTCGTTAGAATTGATTAAAGGTAACGTTGTCCCAGATGTGTGAAACGGGAACACGAGTATTCTGACAAATACTTGGTGCAGTGGCACACTTCTTTGTAAGATCGTGTAACGGATACTGTTAAAAGATACATACTTGTTTGTCAAGTGTAATTGGCAATAGAACATAATAGTTGTAATTGATCATTTATGCTTTAATTTTCTAATGCATAAAATACGATCCCAAATATAGAATATCTTATCGAAATTTGTATATTTGGTTGTAGAAGATAGGTATCCATTAATTCATACACTATTTCTTTATACTCTTTATAGGCAGTATAATTATATCAACATATAAGTAAATGAACCATTTATACTAATAGCTGTTCTATTCTCTCTATGGGTAGCTAAGCCATTGAGAGAACTATTAATATTAAGTTTCTCTTTCTTATAATTCTTGATTTGATCTGAGAAGATTCTCTTCTCTATCGGTGATATCGTAACTCAGTGGTATAGCATTCTGTATACAACTGTCATTCGTATTTGGTATTTAGGCCAATCATGCAATCTTTAATATAGATGTATGTACTCGAAGTCGGAGATGTTGTATAGCAGTATACAAGCGTATGCTGATATGCAACATCAAAGGTTGTTTTAATTTCGTAGTTTATTTTTTTAAACGATTTGCTTAATTATTCTTAAGTGAATTGTACCCAACTACAGCAACAATATTACTTTGGTTAAAACATATATTCAACAGTACGATAAATCAAAAGATGGAAAAATCAATATAGTGAATAAATTCAAAGCAGAATATAAAGCAAAATTTCCCTTAAGCAAGAGATGCCCGTCGCTTATCTTTATCTTTGACTTTGATACACTATGGTTTTCTACACAAATTACCAAGACACTCACCAATGAACGAAACAAAGTATCCATTGCTCTGATTAAAGCCAGTGGTGCAGCGATTACCAAAGAGTTACAGGTTAATGAGAAATAAAGCGTTTTAATATAAATATCGAAAGTAATACGTTTTATTATCACTAAAATAGGTACCGGTGCAAGAATAGGCGGAAAATAGCAACAATGGAAAACATATCTTGTATGAGGAAGATTCTGACAGTGACTTCTCAAACGGAAAAAGCGATGATGAAAATGAGGCCGAATTTATAAATTCAATATTAGTAGATGAAGGGGCTCCTACCTGTTTGAAAGAATTCGACTCGTTCCAATTAATGCTTACAAAAAGGTAAAAGTAGTCGGTCTCTTCGTTAATGCAGGTTTTTCAAACCTTGTAAGTAATTTTTTTTTATTCTGGTATATTGATATATTCATGCCTCTGCTTTAGATCTCTTTACAATATTATACTATTAAAAAAAAGCCGTGCTTATCCTGGAATAAATATGAATGACTTATATAACCAGATGTTGGATATCTACAAATGTGGTGCAAGTATTGAAAAAGTAACGTTTGATGCCTTAACAGAATTATTTAGAGTAAGTAAGTTTAAGGTTTAATATTATGTCTCATATATTTTTTTCTCAGGGTATTGGTGATATTTCTGACAGAGACTTAGTAAAAATCAAACTATTTATAATATACGAAGAGGCCAAAAAAGAAGATCGATATGCCAGGTGCAGCAAGTATGGTGGATATGCTTGTCGATGAGGGAATACTCGGTAGTATTGGTGCTTGACAATGGCGAAGTAAGTGTGTGAGGTGCAGCAAGTTTTGTTTTTTTACCAAGTTTGATACAACTTTGGGTATATGATATGGTATGGCTGTTGGGATGTAAGGTACGGCTTCATCTTTCCTCTCGCAATTGTCGCTGTATCCTCTGTATTCGATACTTTATCTTACGACAGTAAAAAAAACATGATCCTAAAACAGAAAAGTAATTGATGTTTTAATTAATTTGTGCGTATTATACATGTAGTAAAAAAAAAAAACTTTATGATATTAGGATTTATAAACCAACACTACTCTTTATTATAGATTAAACAAACTACCTGATGAAGAAATTATTGATTATACGGTTGAAGAGTAAGAGCTCATCAACGGCTTTGTCGATCCTATGCTTACTCCATTGTTGCACAAACCAGAAAACAGGAAACACTTTTTTTGGTAAATGGCCTGATATAGACTTTAATGTTATTAGTAGTATTAATTCTACATCTAAATGATAGGTTAAATAGAAAGGTAGTAAAAACTCTCAGTACCCGCCCTGACGCTGGTTGCGCTGTAATCCACGAGAGAAGAATTGAAAAGCTTACTTGTTTTACTGAAGTGAAGTCAGAATACAAAAAAAAAAAAAAGGATACAGTATCTACCCACCAAGATCTACTAAGACTGGCTTTGTTTGGAGTAAATGAAATTGAAGATATCAATGCTGAATGCGTTTTACTCATACAGATCGTAGGTAAAGTAAACATTTAATTGATGTTACATTTTCATAGTTTGTTTATAAATTTAAATATACTAGGTACTGTAATAACAAATTATGGATGTATAAAGCACAAAAATGGCCCCAAAATCGTCTTCGAAGTCTCAAAAATAAAAATTCCATCATCTATGCAAAATCTAACAGGATTTATTATGCAACTTGATGATTTAAAAAAAACTCAGTAATTCTTACAACCGTTGTTGTGTCAAGAAATCCAATACAACCAGCAATATCAAAAGAAAACCTTCAACTACAATTGTAGATCTTGACAAAATAATCAATACCCACAAACCAAAAATTTAAGAGTCTCCACTGATTTTTGAGCACAAAAATCTTATTTAAACTAATAAATCATTGTACTTATCACCCTTTGTCGTTTTTTTTTTTTTTTAAAAAAGGGAAGTAAAAATAAATGGCTATTTTAGCTTCAAAAACAAAACTTAGCCTTCAGTTTGGAGCGAGCATTTATATGTCTAAAACAGTTGGTATATATATACTTATCGGCTAGATTGCTGTTAAACAAACATTCTTTTACCTTTTCACGTTTCTGTACATCTATATATAAATCAATCATAAAACGTAAAAAAAGATGAGGTCCTGAAAAGAAGACAAGAGTTCTGTGCTTTAAGCAGAAGCGATGGTATGTGCAAAGACGAGAACAAGAACTGGACATTATCTTGAGTTTTTTAAAGGGAACTTGAGACCAGTTAGATTTCCCGAATTAAAAGGGCTTATCTTTGTCATGGATAATGCTCCTATTTATACCCACAAAGGCATTGATAATTTAGTTGCTAGCAGATGATATTAGTTTATTTACTTGCCTTTATTTTTCGCCTACATTGAACCCTACTGAATGATTTTGGGCTATTGTTAAAAATAGTATTGAGCGTATTAAGTTCGATGTTACTGAGGGATCTTCATACAAGAATCACTGAAGCATTTAATAACGTTCCTCAAACTACATTAAGAAATTGTATCCAACATTCCGCCAATGTTTTTTTTAAAGTGATTAAGTAGAGAGTTACTTTGTTGTAGTCCATATTTGTATTCTGTAACTGTGCGCTCTAGCAGTTGGCATTACTTGAAACGAATAACAATTGCCTTAAGGCAAACATTCTATTTTTATCACTGTAAATCAAATGAATTTTGATTGTTTCAGAAAAGATCTAGTAAAACCCTTTTCTCTTCTGTTATTCTTGACTTGATTTGGTTGTTAATGACGAAAAACTTACCTACCGAAGTGCTTTTATCCGTCTTAAATATTTTTCCAAGTGAACTGGATAAGTTCTCATTTGCTTATGTTAACAAAAGGCACTGGAGGATTTGTTCTTCGCCAACAGCAGATACACTCAAGCTCAAAAGCACGATCACTGCTCTGCAGCTGAGAAAGTATTGTGCTTTTATCATAAAATTCCGATACTGTGATAAAAAATACATGAAGCACGTCTTCTTGCAAGCTGCCAGTTTACACACCATAACACTTGACGACCGTCAAAAGTGTACGTTTGATCGCATCATTTCTACTTCAATCTGCCAATATGAACAATAAGGTTACTTTCATTATACCTGAAGGATTTGAACAGAAATTTAAGTGCATAGTGGAAGAAGATGAAATGGATAACGTCAGTGGAGACGAGCAGCTTATTAATATCGCCAAAATTGTCCCTCCAGAAGCAGTTGAGCGTGCAAAAAACATCCTGAGACGCGATTATCACCTTCCTAACAGAGAAACCATAGTCATGAAGGATAACCTTAGCTACATGATTGCTTCTCCTATCAAATGATTCTTAAAGTCCAGAGAATATCGCGTCCAGAAAAACGGCTTTGGCGACGATTTGTTAACGAAGAAGACAGACCTAAATGCAGTGGAAGCCTCAAGAATTGTTAATGAGTGAGGACCCAAGCTTGTCGAATCAGTTATTATATTGGTTTTTATGACTATGTAAATACTCCAGTATCTAAACCATGATGTAAAACAAGTAGATTATGATCGATGTCGTCTTGACTTGGTGCGTAATCAAAGCTTAATTGTGCCTTGATAGCTTTAGGTGGTGTTATCTTTTTGCTTTCAGCTGATGGTGTATTAACATTGGGTTGCTTGAATTTTTGAATTCAGAGTTTTGAAGTTGAGATCAAAAGTTGAAGTTTATGTACTCCGCCGAGACCATAAAATTTAAGGCTGCATCAGAACTTCAACTGAGGAAGTCCAATGTCTATGCATATTATACTGCTTACAAGTATATAACTTGTATGCTGGCAACATCAAAACAAGAGCTACAAATATTGATTTAAATTTCTTCATAGAAAAACTTAATCATGCTTGAACGTTATTAGAAACTTTTTGTTAAAAAACATGTATATGTCAACATTGTCGCATTCCCCATAATGTGTTAGCCAATGATAAAGTTGATTTTTTAGTGTTTGTTTCACATGAAAGTATCATGTCATTCCAAGATGCTTTACTGCTCATTATTCCATTTGATCCTAACAAAAGTATGATGTATCGCACATGGATCTGACGAGAATCAAACGGATGGTCCGATGGTGTTCATCCCATTTCAAAAAGTAGTAAAATCAAAATGCCAAGCTTTTCTTGTCCATCCAATATAAACAAAAAAACCATCAGTAAACAAAACTTTTTTTTTCTTTTTTTTATAAAATCTTGTTCATACAAAATTTTTTTTTACTTTTCTTTAAAAGATTTGATACTCTTAAAATGTAGATATATGCTATGACACCATATTTCTTGTCCTGTTACTTATTTATGTTTTTTTAGATACAAGAAAGCTTACATTCTTGAACAGGGAAAAGACTTTGATATACAATCATTCTATATTCTTGGAAAGAGGGAGAATGTCTGGATTCTTGAGAAGAACGATAGAAGCAGCAGCCATAGAACGAGCTAGCTTCTTGTGATCTCTTTGAACGTTGACAATTTTAGCTTCTTCACGGTATAAATTAATGGATACCTGTCTTCTACAACCAAATATACAAATATCGATAAGACATTTTATATTTGGGATCGTATTTTATTCATGATAAAATGATCAACTATTATGTTCTACTGCCAATTATTCAAGACAAGCACTTATGCAGAAAGTGAACTGAAAATTGCGTAATTATTGGTGGTGCTCCAATGCTCGGAGGTGGTGATTCTTGGTGACGATTCAATGCTCGGGGGTGGTAATTCATGCTGGTGATTCAATGCTTGGTGGCGGTCATTCGTGGTGGTGAATCAATGCTTGGAGGTGGTGAGTCCTGGTGGTGAATTAATACTCGGAGATTGTGATTCCTGGTGGTGAGTCAATGTTTGGTGACGGTGTTGTTTGCAGGTAATAATAATCAGTGTATGGAGTTGACGGTGGCCAGGTAAGACAGTTTGATGAGGCAAGTTAAGTCTGTATATCAGGAAGTTGAAGACAAACAACTGAAAGAATTCTTGTATGAAGAATATATACGTGATGATTTTGCGGTATGAAGTTTGTCAGATACAGATTATAACACGTTTGACTAATTATCATTTTAGATGATTACTGAAAGTACACACTTGGATATATACTGGACTGATACAGTCAAAGATATAATCAGCGCAAATATAAACAAAAGAAAATTGGACCACATGCTATCCCAAGAAGCATCCTCTGTGAGACACAAAAACTTATATCAAATGTAATACATAGCTCTAACAACAGAGTCTTTATTTTGTCTAGTCAACCGAACGTACCCAAAAGGACCGCCATTTATCCCAAAAGTAAGTACCACTAAGCATACCAAATACTTTGTTTAGCAATCACTAAATATAAATACCTATCTTTTATTAAGCTTAAGCATTGTTGACCTATCAAACCAAGGGAGCTCGTCTCAACAAGATGATGTTGATGGTTGGAAGGAAATACTGATTGCTCATCAAAGTACTGAAGAGGACCAATTACCAGCATTACGTCCAAAACTGATTGCTGCGGTAAGCTCTGTAACACAAAAGGCATGTGAATGAGGAGAAAATTTACAAATCAGAATATTTGTTAATTAACAGCATTTACTATCATAGAAGTCAACAGCTTATAAGAGGTATATTCGATCTTTATCATACCAGCAACAATGTCCCGAAGATTCTTTATATTTTTACAAGATTATTACCACCATGTAAGTTCCAAATGTTCCCAGCTTTTATGCGTGATATTTTGCTAACAACACAATAATGCGACTATCTTATGCGTATAGTATGAATGCCTTCTACACCAAACCAAGCCTACTTGACTTATCTGTTGCTCATGAACAATCAGAGCAAGATTATAACATAAATATCTGGGAGCCTATCATAGAAGCCATGTTCTCTGATTCCATTGTACAAGTCAAGAGGTAAATACAAAGCTCGTATTTTTTTTAAAAAAAACAAATAAGGATATCAGAGAATACTAACTCCATTATCTACTCTATATAGCGGCGATACAGTATTGAAAAGCTTTGATAGCAAGTTCAAAAACAATTACAGACTTAGAGTTATTATCAATCAGAGATTCATTGATATAGCGAATATTGAAGTCGGAAAGAAGGCCACCACTACCAAGGTCAAGGATGACCACTTTAAACTACTTCTGGAAGCCAAAACAATCATACAAAAAGCAATCAGTTCTTTTAGCTTTATTTATCCACCGTCTTTCACAGTAACCTCGTTTCAAATTTGTGGCATCAAAAGCGACTTATTACAAACAAGTCTTGGCTCCCCTTCCAATTTTACCACTCAACGAATAAGCAAAAGAATACGTATACCACTCCGCCCCTGTTGTGATCGAGCTTTATATATTCATGTATGCTTGATCTACACAGCATATTTTTATCCATTACAATAATTTTATAAACACTTCTTTTAATGTTGCATATTGAATATTCACAATTGACTTAACAAACTAGCACGATATTCATCAAGCTAAATACAAGTACAAAAGTATACATTTATTATACAATTATTCTAAAAAGACATTATTAATATATTGTACTAATCAGATTAGCGGAGGCCAATGACAAGCGAGGTTTAAAAGTACAAACACGATAAATTTTTGAATGTACTTTGATGACTTTTAAAGGTACGCGTCAAGTGACACTACAGACCTATTACAGAAACGTGTACCACTCTTTCTTCTATTATATAATTCTCATTGGACTACTTACTTTCAAATATGGCGTGTCAGTCATAATCTTGCCTGTCATCTAGCCCTGTCGAAGAAGGAGGTCGAATTCAATATGTATATAAAGGACCCCTAAATTTTATGTTAATAAAAGTTCAGTTAATTTTTGCAATCTGGTTAATCTTACTTGTTATTTTCCTAAATTATCATCGATTTATCAGCGAGAAGTTGACTCTTTTGTTACGACAATTAATGGTGTATAAGGATAAAGTGGAATCTGTGGCAACCTTGTTGAAAAAAGAAGTTAACAAAGCACTGGATAGAAGATCGTCTTTTGGTCCTATTTTGAGTTCATCTTACAAGAAGAACTTGGAATGTTATCATAATTGGTTAAATGTGTCGTATTTGGGTACGATTCACTTAAAAATAATTAAGCAAATCGTTCAAATAAATAAACTATGAAATTAAAACTGTGGTATTTGACAAAATATTACAATGAAAAAGTAATGAGAAAAAAGTATATTTTTATTAGAGGTAAAAATAGACTAAAAGAACTCTGCTGCGATGAAATAATTGATCCTTTTTATATTGAACAACTTCCCCTGGTAGTTGTGTTGAGTCAACCTTTCTGGTCTTGTAATAAATCTATACTCAGTTTCCCGCCTTACATTAATGAAATTCTACTCGTTAGAATTGATTTCAAATAACGTCGCCCTGAATCAACGAATTTTTATATTTGCTGGTAGATGGTAAATGATTTTCCGAAAAAGAGGCTTATCTACCACGAAATAAATTGACAAAAAAATCAGAAAAATCATTAAGTTAAAACTCTCAAGGCAAATTACAAAGTTAAAAGTTGTAAAGAAAAATTGTAAAATTTATTTTAAAGTTGCGTGTTTGATCTACGGAAATGTGTTTCATACTTATCTTTCATTCTTTGAGTGATTTGCATAGTACGTTGCAAAATTTCATCTACAACCGTTGCCTCTTCTTTGGTCATATACTTGAAAAGACGTGTTAAATCAGATCGAGAATGGTTTAATGTGGCCATGTTATCTAAGAAATGATCCTTTAATTCTTCGTTATGATCCTGTTGAATGATTGTGGCCATAGGAGCCGTCTCCAAAACAGGAACATTATCAACAACGTAGTTGTTGACAGACGAAGGAAAATGCAACGAAAAGTTAGTATGGTTTTTCAACAGATACATATGCTTACATGGCTGTCTTCGTTTGCCGAAATCGTAACAGGAACAAGACATAATGACATTGTCAATGGTTACTTCAATTGAATAATCGATTGAAGCACCATCGACAAAGGAGCTAACCTGATACCTTCTGATTCCTTCACCATCTACATCCGAGGGACCACCAACCATTCTCTCTCTATCATCATCATCAACTTCCTCAGCCTCAAGCTCTCTGATTCTTTGCTGCTTAAAGAAGGGTGACATCGCACCGTTACCCTGAATAACCCTTTCAAATTCTTGAAGGAGGTAATACTCGACATCATTGACCAAAACAAAAACGAGCTTGTCGAGTCTCTTGTTTCTAACTCGGCCCAAAAACACGGTCTTCAATTGATTGTGCCAAGATTCGATGAAGTTGTTGGTCAACATATGAGAAAACTGGATGTCTTTGTACGATCTACTCCAAACTTTGAACTTGTCTTCAGTACACCAGTTTTTGACGAAGTAGTCCATAAACTTGGTTTGGTCGGCATACTCTTCTTGGAAACCAATAACCTTTTGATGGAACTGATCAAGATCTTCTTCGTATACGATGCTTTGTAAATAGCTCATCATTTCACCTCTGAGCACTCTATTCTGAGAAGGTGAAAATCCAGGAACAGAAACAGAAGCAAGATGTTTGTTCCAAGCCTGAGTCACATGGAAAATGCAGTACTGAATCTTTGTCTTTGCTGGATCAAAGGTGTTGGTAATTGCATTTACCTCGGCCTGGCAACAGTCAATGGTGAATTGTTCAGGATCAACCAAAAGACGGGCATCCCTCAAATGCTGAAGCCATTCAACAATTGGTCCAGTGCCATGATCATTGGTAATCATATAGGCAACTGGCCATCCTCTGCCAATGCTATTATCACGAATGATCAAAGTATACAAAATATCGGCCATATTGCTGGAAATACTATGAGTGGCATCCAAACAAAACGCACTGGAATTCTTCATTCGAATCTTCTGATCGGGGGAGACAAACCCACAGGCGAACAAGGATGGGTCCTCAGTGTATGCCAATTTTCCAGTAAAGCATTCGTAGCCTTCAGATGGCAGTTTTGTCTCAATCCAAATTTTAAAAGACACCATATGATCCTTATGAAAATGATACATCTCCTTATCAACCTAAAACGCGTTATTGTTAATATCAATATTCCGTAAATACTGAGTTTATAGTCTGACCTTGTTCATAGTGTTCCAGATATCATGGTAATTAACCTTAAAATGAGACTTGCGACCATAAGAGTCAGCTGCCTTCAACATATCAATTCTAATTTGACGAGGAGTCTTTGATGAATGCTTCAGCTGCTGCAAAATCTCATGTAAACGGTCTCTTGGGAGAGAAAGAGTGCGAATATGGTCCATAAAATCTCCAGGAACATGGTTTGTATGATCCTTTTCGATAATGAGCTCATAGAACTCGGGATAAGCATAAAAGCTTCTAACACGGAGAGTGCACTTGCAGTCAACCTTTTTCGATTTTTTTTGAACGGGTCGATCCTTGGCAACAGACTTGTAAGTACCAGCACGATGACAGCAATACTGTTGAGAGAAACGGAGAGAAATGCTTCTAGCCTTAGCTTCTTCAAGAGAGAGATCCATGGGTTGCTTGATGGAATTAGTGATTCTCCAGCCATAGGCACAAGCTTCGTTGATTTCGGCCAGGCATTCCTTCCAGCTAGCTGATTCTACTTTAATTGTTACGCCAGTATTTAACTGCGTTACACCGGGCAAAGTTGAAGGAGTAAGGGCTTCCATAATGTTTGTTAAAGAGTATATCATATTGTTAGATGACATAATTAGTTCAGGGTTGTAATAAAAAAAATTCTTATCAAGCGCGTGAACCAGACAGGTGCTCAAAAAAAAAAAAAAAAAAAAAAAAGGAATCACAGTCCTGTTTTCGGAAAATCATTTACCATCTACCAACAAATATAAAAATCCAAGTTTTGTCAACCCCAGCAGTTTAAAAAAAAAGTCTTAAATAACGGACCTCAAAAAACTTAATTAATTAAATGTACCAGAAAAAAAAAAGTGTCAAGATCTTTTTACTCAATCCCGAATTTTTTTAAGATGGAACAACTCGCAGCCATGGCACTCCTGAATTTTAGAAAGCGTGCAAATAATAATGTCCTTCATATACTGAACATCAAAAGACTTAAGGATGAAATGGACAGTCAGTCAAAGACAGGTGGTTCAGTCAAGGGACGCAGAGTCATTGTCAGAGACAGTGAATCCGGCTATCAACGTCTATTAAATGATTACTTTGTCCAAAACCCGGTTTACGGCGAAAAAGAATTTCGTCGTCGATTCAGAATGGGTAAGAATGTCTTTCTTCGAATTGTGGAAGCTATCACCGAGCATGATCCGTATTTCCAAAGAACGCCAAATGCTGCTGGAAAAATGGGTCTTCATCCTTTGCAGAAGGCTACTGCTGCATTACGTCAGCTATGCTACGGCGTCAGCGCTGATACGGTAGACGAGTATTTGCGTTTGGGTGAAAGTACTGCCTTGAAAAGTATGAAGAAATTCTGCGCTGCTGTCGTTGAGGTTTTTGGAGAGGAGTATCTTAGAAGACCCAACGAAGAAGATACCGAGAGACTTCTCGAAGAGAACAAAAAACGTGGATTCCCAGGTATGCTCGGGTCTCTCGATTGCATGCACTGGACTTGGAAAAACTGTCCAACGGCATACAATGGTCAGTATACCGGCAAGGAAGAGAAGCCAACATTGATTTTGGAAGCAGTGTCTTCGTATGACCTGTGGATCTGGCATGCCCATTTTGGCTTACCAAGTTCATTGAATGACATTAATGTTCTTGACAGATCGGATTTGTTCGATGAATATACGAACGGCAGCAGCGTGGATGTGAAGTTTGACGTCGGTGACCAGGAGTTTACCATGGGGTATTATCTTGCCGATAAGATATACCCCAACTTTGCCAATATGGTAAAGACATTTTCTGTTCCAAAACCTGGTGCCGAGGTAGTAAATATCGTTTCTAAAATATTGAAATATATATGCTAGCTATTAATCGTGACTTCTTAAAATATAGAACTTCGCTAAACAACAAGAAGCATGCCGTAAGGATGTCGAGAGGGCTTTTGGCGTATTGCAGGCTCGATTTGCTATAATTAGTTGTCCTGCAAGATTGTGGAAAAGAAAAGATCTTGGTATGATCATGAAGGCGTGCATAATTATGCATAATATGATAGTCGAAGACGAGCGGGATGAGAGCGACACCCTTCCAAACAATTACTTTAAGTCTCATTCTGCCAATCCTTCTGATGCTGCAGACATTTCTCGCGATTCTTCGTTCTATAACTTTTCTAGCTATTTAGAGCGCCACGGAAATATCATTGATGCATCTGAACATTTCAGATTGAAGAAGGCCTTGGTCGCGCATCTCTGGCATAGAAAAGGACATGGAATTGTTTAGACTTCACTTCTAAATCAAATTCACTCAAAAGTATAGGTCTATCTAGTTTTAAAAATATAAATAATTTTGAGAATGGAACAGAGGATTAAACATATTTATTGTTCACCATTAAGATCTTCTGTACGAAGTATTTCGTTCTCAATCTCAGCTTCGAGGCGATCCAAAGCTTGTTTGCGACTAAGCTTATAGAAACGCAAAGTCTCTTCATCATCCTTGAACTTTTCCAAGTCAACGCTGAACAATCTCTCATCCAACAACTTTTGATTGATTGCCAAAAGATTTTGGTTGACAGCCAATTTCTCCTGCTTAATGGCGTTCGCCATATCCATCTTCTTCATCATCTCAGAGTATTTGTCTGCTAGCTGTTGCTGGTTTGTTTCCCAGTCAACCAAGGTATCAGTGATCTTCTTGTCCATGGAAGCCTGGTTCTTGCTCTTTTTGGGTCCCTTAGGACGCGCAATGATGGATCCATCACTTTCACCATCTTCATCCTCCGCAATCACTGTTGAGGTCCCAACCTCAGTAGCAGCAGAGCTACCAGGAGCACAAGAAGCGGTAATCGTTCTCTTGGAACCTGCCTTTACCGCCAGTTTTCTCACGAGCTTGGCGTCTCTTCTTGCCATCTCATCATTCCACTTTGGACTACTACGAAGTACCAAAAAACAATCGTAAAAAGCGAAATGAACACGGTATTTTGTTCGAAACAAATTGAAAGCATCCCCCAACTATTTGTTAAATTATTTGAGTTAAACTACTATATCCCTTTATCGATAGTTATATGATACGTACTTC